TGCTGACAGGAGCGATGTACAAGTGACGCATAACTTATATGTACAAAACATATCTTTTTAACATCAGAAATAAATATGACAGACTATAAACGTATACAACGTAGTTGTCTGTTAAACCATGCTGCTGTCTCCCTGAGGTACCGAAAATTAAAAATTTGCAGTGTCTACCCGCTGATTGAACAGAAATTCTGATTCCGCGGAAGTATGAGCCCGTAGGAAAAAGTACGTTTACATTATGCCTAACAAATCTAACACTGACAGTGAGTGTGAAATATGCAGGCGGGAATCATGAATCTTTGTTTTTGAGTAACCTATGCCCTTTCATACTATTTTGATAAAATACTTTAATTAGTATTTACTGAGATTTTACTCTTAAAAGTCAAACCTATTACACCCTTTTTAAGTTAAGTCAGTTTAAATGAATAGACATTAATTTGTTATGCTAAGAAGTCATGTGATTAATATTTTAATACAGAAAATTGTAAACATGTTTATATTATTCTTAATTTTCTTTTCTGTACTTTATATTTCAATAACAACACTGTTTTTCGCAAGTCCTGTATCCAGAGTAATATGATTAAGTCTTGCAATTTATTTTCTGTTCTTTCAAACTTGTTATTTAAACCTAGACATCACAATATTAAACTTTTCAAGAAATTAAATCTACATAAAAATAATTCTTAATTTTCTTTTCTGTACTTTATATTTCAATAACAACACTGTTTTCCGCAAGTCCTGTATCCAGAGTAATATGATTAAGTCTTGTAATTTATTTTTTGTTCTTTCAAACTTGATATTTAAACGTATATACATCACGATATTAAACTTTTCAAGAAATTAAATCTACATAAAAATAATTAACTACAAGATCTGTCACAAAGTCGCTACATTTCCGACATTTTTGATTTTTCATTTCCGACAATTTTTTTTTTCATTTGCACTTCCGGATTTTTAAGGGTTAATTTAATGTTAACCATGTAGGTAAAAATAGAATTTTAACAGAATATTAATATTTTATTAATATTAAACCTACGAATAAAAACATTACAATAACCTGTACATACATTACACAAACTGTGAAACACAACACTAAAGAAACTGGGGGGATAAGCCGAGCCACGTGCCTACATAACGATCGATAAAAAATCAATAAATTCATTTCACAAAAATTTCACTTTTTGTTGAATTAATGTAATGCTTATTACCATTTGCATATAAATTTGACAAAACCTGAATACTGTAACAGCGAAAATGATTCTGATTAACACCACAAAATGGCATCACGCTCTATTTTCACAGAAACTGACATAAATTGGATGATATAACTACATTTTTTAAATAGAGTGGGTCATCGTACCATTTTTTTGAGAACGATTAATGAAAGGCAATGGAAAGTTGTTGCTTTTTACACTTGCAAAAATTTGGTATGAAGACCCACTCTACATAAAAAGTAACTTAACTTACTTAAATTTTCACCGTGGTCTTAAAAAATTCTAAGTCCAAAAACGCTTGCTAAATATAGAGAACTGTATGCTATGTAAATAGACATGTACGTGTAAGTGTGACTCCGTTGTCTATTGGTTAGCGAGGAGCTATTTAAAGGGACGTTTATTGAGGAAAGTGTTCGAGTCATACTCTGATTTTTTGATTTTTTTTTATTTTTTTTTTTTTTTGGAGGGGGGGGGGTAATTTTGTTTTACTTTATAAAAAATGTCTATAGGAATAACATATTTTTCACTGGAAATAAAATATATACATGTAGTAATGAACTTATTTACAGTAAATTATTTAAAATGCCGGATAAAAATTATAATAGATATTTGAATACTTTTATTCCCGTTTTTATTTATTTTAAATAAAAGCGCTTCTAGATCACCATTATCATTATATACGATGTTAACATTTTTATAATATCTCCACAATAAGTGTAAACACTCAGTATGCAGATTAATTAATAGAAGTCCTTACCCATGTTAGACATTTGTGACGGTAAATGAAAGTCAACTGTTTAGCTTGTTTAGAATATAAATATCATTTTGAAAACTACGGTAAACATTAAAATGCTTAAGTAAATTCGAACAATTGAGAGATTTTTTCCAATAAATGTTCTTGCAAAGCCGAAAAATGGGCATGGGCACATGGCTCGTTTTATCCCCCCAGATTCTTTAGATAAAAGTATAGGTATTATATTCTTGTGCCCCCTCAATAATACACTTGTAATTAACAGCTGATGATCTTTTTTTTATTTTGCTTTTCAAGGAATTTTTGAATTTTTTGTAGTGTCAACCCAAACTGAAAATGTTTGGTTGCGCCCCCCCCCCCCCCAACTGAAAATGTTTGGTTGTGCCCCCTCCCCCAAGCTGAAATTGCTTCCTACGGGCCTGGCTAAGAAGGCGTCCATGACAACCCCCTTCTTAAAAACATTGAAATAAAAGTAGGGAGACCTCTTATCTGTAGAGTTTGAAGGGTAACTTCATTGAATGTAAAGATATTACAGAAAATATACTATACAGGAGAGACATTCAACTCTATCTATCGAATCATCTAACACTTTAATAAATAGGGAGTGAGTCCATCGTATAAAAAATAACATTCAATGATGATGTGAATACATTCAAGATGTTTTTTTTCCGAGCTTGCCCTAAAAAGGCCCTAGAAGATGCGATTGAAGCTTTGCATGTCTTCGGCTCTATTCAATACTAGCATATCGGTCACGGCATCGTCGCAAGCCACGGGTTTTGTGTCCATTCTAGTTTGTGGAAATAGAATGGACACAAAACCCGTGGCTTGCGACGATGCGGTCACGGTAGCCAGGTGGTCCGGATTCGATTCTCGTTCGCCGCGCCGCTTCAAACCTAGGTAGTGACTGTTCCTTCGCCAAGCGCCCGGAATGAGAAGTGAAAGTCATAGGTCTTTCGGATGACACCTTAAAAAACGAGGTCCCGAGTCACAGTAGACGTTGGCACGATAAAGAACCCTCACTGCTCAATGGCCCTAAGTATTGATCAGGTCAATAGTGCATAGTAACAATAAAAATACGTATATGTAGTATGAAAAAAGAGCTTAAAATTGGTATGAAACATGTGAGTCAAAAGTTGTCCCTAGGTTGTATTTTGCATACAAGGTCATGATAACAGTCAAAGAATTTTTTAAAAATCTAACTTTAAACAGAACAGTTGAAGCCCCCATATTATCAACTTACTTTTTCAGTAGCCTACCGTGTTTAAAAATTGATCATACGCAGAACAATCTTCTGACATGTGTCTCAGGTTTCAGTGAAATCTGACCTTGATTGAAGGGGGCGTAGCATTAAAGAAAAAACAACATAAATCTCTAATTTTAAGTAACCATGGCAATACTGTTTGACAAAATCACAAACCGATATACAGAATTAAGCTAGTCTACTAGTGTACCATTTTTTTTTATTGAAATCAGACCAAGAATAGGAGGGGTCATGCAGCCATAGCATTTATTTAGCGATCTTTGTGCCTAGTACGAGTTTTAATTATTCAATTCTGGGCCATACTGTGATACAAGAAAATAACTAGAGGTTCAAATGCTCTTTAGTTTCATTGGACAAATTTCTCATCCAATACAAAGTATAATTATGTAATCTTTGTATCCCCAAAATATGCAATTGAAGCTTTCAATGATTTGTTCAATAGAAATACACATTTTATGGATGATGTTCCATGATTTTATTTTAAAAATTGTTCAGACATACATTCAATCTCCTGAAATACAGAACATGTATATTGTCTGTATGATATTTTTTTTTCTGTTTCACATGCTACAAATATGTACAAGGAACCAAATACATATATACCAGTTAATAAATGACAGTGCATGCATTTTTTATTTTCCTAATTTGTCTTTCAAGACCTGTACAAACTTTATTACATTTGGTGACATGGACATTCAAATTCCCAACAAAAATGGCCTCAAATTCTGATTACTAATTAATGACATTGCATTGTTATTTTTTACAATAGATTGGTGTTCTATAAGCTCTTAGTCAAACAGAAAATGAAATGACAAGGGCAAAAATGCAGTTATTCAAACATCAAATGCTTGGAGCACTAAAATGCTATGATAAAGGTAAAAACATTCTGCCCTTCATATGATTGTCCAACATTACTGTCCACTAGAATTTACCATAGAATGGCCACACTTCATTTGCTTTCATTAATATCCAATATTTTTTTAATCCTGTTTCATGAAAATATATTTTTGAGTCCTGTATTGAGGAGTTATTTCATAACTTTTTTTAAGTTTTGTAATTATGCAAACAGAGAAATTGTAATTTTTGTCTGTATGCTTAGGAAAATAGACTATGTTAAAGATCAATAAAAATGCAATAAAAACCAAGTTTCACTGATCAACCAGTCAAATTGAAAATTTCTATCTCTTTTTCACTCATTTACCAAAAACATTCAAAGCATTTTGAAAAATTAGAATATAATATTCTTATGAAGAAAAATTATATCCTTGCCATATTCTAATGTAACACTGCCTCTACAAGATAGCTGACAACATTTGTGTAAAACAAGAATTGCCTATTTAAAATAAATATTAACTTAAACATTCATTGAGGTAATTATGACATCAGTAAGTATTGAACACCTAAAATACTTCAATTGTTCAAAGTTCCTTAGCTACTGTAATCTGTCCAAACGGGACTTACACCAACCAGAGGGCACAATCAATGTGATTTTTAAACTGAAAATTAATTAGCACATAAGAACTCTGGAAATGAAAATAAAATTCCACTACCATATTATGCAGCCTTGAACTTTTTTCAAGTGTATTGTACATTCAATGCATCATAAAGTTAACATTCAGTGTTAACTTAGCTTAGCCCCCCCCCCCTTTTTTTTTTTTAGCAAAGATAGACATACATGTAGTATAGGCATTGAAAATTGGGGCTTAGCCCCACAAACGGTTTTTTTGTTTATTTGTTTGTTTGTTTGTTTAGCCCCCCCCCCCCCCCCCCCCCCACTTTCAATTTGCTTGACAGCTATGGTGTACCCTATAATTATAAGCAACTTCTGGAGTGATTCTTCTGCAATCTCTGAATACCACTGCTGTGAGCTAGAAAAAATGTTTCCCTTCCAACTCCTGTAACCTTGACAAATTGCCTTAGCTTAAGGTCATGACTAGTAAACTATATTATGAAGTTCTACCATTTTTGCATTACAAAATTATTACTTGATAAAAAATTTACACTTTAGAATTTAACTACCTTCATTTTCTCAATCTGACCTTATTTCAAGGTCAAGTCACATCCTCTGGTCATAGCATCATTTGTCCCAGGTATCTCATTTTCTTGCAGATTAAGGAGGTTTCACAAATGTTAATCTACACTGATGGAAAGTATGGAGAAATTTTTATACAAGAATTTTGGTATCAGAAACTTTGAAATATTAAAAGTAATTTTGACACCAAAAAAAAAAATCTCTTTTATTTCAGAATTATTCAAAAGATGTACCAATCATGTAATTGAAATTCTCATCTCACCTCCATATGTGTACTTGATACTTAACAATGATTTGTGGCATATGTTCTTAAAATGATGTGTAAATTCCTCCCTAATCAAATAATTATTATTACTGTCATTATGATGCTGTGTCAACGCGTACAGATTTATTGTTTTGATCATATAATAATATTTTGAATGAATACGAAGTAAACATGTTTGTGATCACCAAATTGTGTTTTTCGTTTGACTTTTCTTACCTATATAAATTGAAGATATGATCAGGTAGCATCTGTCACAGATTTTGGTGAATCAAATAACATTCAAATACAGTTATTATGACTGCTATGTAAAAATATCACAGTTTTCAAACTTTCTTTTGAATTGAAAAATACAATTAATATCCTTTTTGTCATTTATAAAAGCATCTGTAATATATAAACATGCATATGAAATGATTCATTCACAAAGAACACAAGATATGGCCGCAATACTACAAGAAATAAGAGATCTTATTGTGCTGGACAGTAACAGGTCATATTTTATAATGATATTAGTATATACAGTGTCACTAGAGAACTAAAGGATTGCGATGTCAGTGATTGGGAACATCCCTATGTTTCATGTTTAAATAAAACATAATACATTTATACAGAATATACCAACAAATTACATTTCTTGATACTCTAAAATGTGCCAAATAATTTCACCAAAGGAACAATGTCACAAAACATTTAGTTTTATGAAAACAGAAAAATGATATTTTTATTTTTATCAAGATCAATTCATCCCTTGTCTGCTCTGAAATCATTACGAGCCCAACTTAAAAGACTTTTGCAAACAAATACTTAACTTGAAAGAACAAGCACAGCTGTAAAATTGAGTGTAATGATACATGTTTCACAATAATCATATGGCTAATACAACTAATTAATGTACATATAGCAATTTAAGAGATATAATTCATATATACTTGTACTAAGTGACTCAATTTGTTTCCAGTATCCTCTTATTTGTAACATACATGCTCATACATACACTGTATCATTAAACATTATAGTAACAAGATCTACAACACATTAAAAATTTATATTACAAAACCAACTGCCTTTCAAATCACATTAAGCAAAAATGTGCTTCTCCTTTGAGGGTGTTTTCTTCTTAAATATTGTTTATGAAGAATTTAACATGTAAAATGTTGTCACAAAAAGTTGAGAAATATAGTTGATACACATTTGAGCTACAGATATCAATAACATAAATAAAGCTGGTCCACAAAAGCAGACTGTTTACAATTATCCATTTTGGCTAAAGAAAGACAACTCTTCCCCATATAATGAAAATTGTTGACAGCGTGGGTGTTTCATATTCTCAAAAAAAATTTTAACCTCAATGTTCAATACCATGGTGAATATCCATATACATGTATATGATTTTCAACCAGGATGAACAACTGTTAAGCTTATAAGTACAATATTCCAACTTCACCAGTCACTTGAGAAGGAAAAAATTAAATTTTGGAGAGGAAGAAAAATCAACAGACTTTGTATTTGCTCTACTGTATCTTATAATAAATTAATTTATTGCTAGAATAGAAGCTACATGCAGCTGCTGCCGAATTTTAAGATTTACAGATCTGTAGATTCAACAAAATCATTCTCATCATCATCAGAATTCCTGATAGGAATATTGTTGACCTCTACTATGATATCCTTTATATGAACATCACAAGAAACATGGCTTTCAGCTGGAGATGAGTTTTCAGTCTTTTTCACATCATGGCAATCTCCTTCCTCTGAAGGGCATTCCAGATCACACTTCACTTGTCCGTTCTTCTTATGACTCTCCACGAGCTCAGAATGAGACTCTTTTTCCACACTGGCATGTACTTCATTTGATGAGTTTGTAGGCTGGGCAGATGAATCCACTGTATCATGATCCAAAGATGGTTCATCAATAGCTGTTTCTCTAACAGAATGAACTACGACCTCTGTCTCTCCTTCCTGAGCGTTTTCTTTGATATGCTCATCATCAGACTGCACTGGTCCACTAGGAACACTAGATAAATCACCCTTTGTTTTTTTGTCAGCGTCTGACTTTAACTTAACTCGGTGTTTCTTCATCCGCCTTCCAGTGCCTTTCCTTACTTTAAATGCACTGCCGTCATCTGAAGTATTAGTGTCCGCCACAATTGCAGACAGAGAGTTACCGAAGTCCTGAACACAGAAGTCTGCACTCGTGGCATTTACATCCTCCCCCCTAAGTTGCAGTAGTTGTCAATTGACCGATAGTTCAATGTTTATAAACTGTTTGAGACGCTCTAAGTACTGTCCATAAAGCTCTACATCATTATGTCCTGCCCCCTCTACCCACAGAGGTTCTACTGCCCGGGGACATTTCTCATAAATGGCGAGACCGTGAGAAAAGTCTATCACCTCATCTTCTGTTCCATGAATCACCAACACAGGACAGGTAATTTTCGGTACTTTGTCTATGCTGAAATGAAAGAACAATTGGATTAATCTCAAGAACTAGATATGTTCTACTTTCATAACCATGATAACTTGTAAAAATTTCAATGTAGATTGTCTTTTTCAGTGAACAATGTGATAGTGTAGATACAATATCTGTACTGGTTATGTATATTACAAGCACTGTCATATTATTGAAGGTTTTTTTTTTCATTACAGTCAACAATACCTAAATATCAGAGTGATCATAAAATGAACCTCCTCCATACCCCATAAATGTACATGTATGTCAGGAGTATAAATACATAAATTTTATCTCCTTTTGTTCAAGCTGGATGCATTGTATCCAAAATGATGCTGATAACCTTTATTCAATGTTTACACTGTGACAGATTTTCCTTAACAGTAGCTATATATAACTTACATCAGAGCTGGACAATTTCCATATGTGGAAGTCAAGAATTATAACTGTAAATTGCTATCAATACACAGAATAAACAAGGTGCTAATCCTTCTAATGAATTGAATAACAGCATTTACACATCCAAAACTTTGTTTTGCTCAAAAGATTTTTTAGAACAAACTTTTTGTAAACTTAGTGCACATTTAGGAGTAATACATCCCATAAAACAATTTTACCCTGAACAAACACAACTTGAAAGTTTAGAATAAATTCTAAGTGGGATTAATTAAAATCTGCCACTATGAGGTTACTTTAAAGTTTAACTTATATAGGTATGATAGTGATAAATTTGATATAAATACAACCAAAGATTTTTAGTTTTTAGAGCCTGGCTGCCCTGGCATGAAGATGTCTTGGTACATGGGATATAACAGTCTTAATTATTTCCAGTGTATAACAACATGTTAAATTGTCCAGTTTCTGGTATGCCTGGTAAGTTACAGTGATAAAAAGCATGCATCTACATTCCCTTTTCCCTATATGCTTTACACCTTTCGTTATGCATGTTTAAAGTAACATGGTATTCAGCACTCGTGAAACTCATATTTAAAACAAGAGGCCCATGGGCCACATCGCTCACCTGAGCATATTGGCTAGGAAAAAAAAGCAAAAATCAGTTCAGTATTGAAAAGTTTAGGGGGGGGGGGGGGGTGTAAACTACCTGATGATGCTTTTATATCAATATAACAAATGGCTTTGCTGTTCTTGAGCAGAAGATTTTTCCCCATATTTTCATTTTTAAATTTTTATCCCCCATTGTGGCCCCACCCTACCCCCGGGGGCCCTCATTTGAACAAATTTCATTCTACATTACCCTCCATATCAAGTTTACTAATCATGGCTTTTCTGTTCTTGAGAAGATTTTTTCCTATATATTCCTCTGTAAACTTTGATCACCCATTGTGGCCCCACCCTACCTCCGGGGCTCATGATTTGAACAAACTTGAATCAACACTACCTCTGGATGCTTCCATATAAATATGACCAATCATGGCTCCGCTGATCTTGAGAAGAAGGTTTTTAAAGATATTTTCCTATATATTTCTGTGTAAAAGTTTGATCCCCCATTGTGACCCCACCCTACCCCCGGGGGTCATGATTTGAACAAACTTGAATCTTCACTACCTGAGGATGCTTCCATATAAATATGACCAATCATGGCTTTGCTGTTCTTAAGAAGAAGATTTTTAAAGATATTTTCCTATATATTTCTATGCAAAACTTTGATCCCCCATTGTGGCCCCACCCTACCTCCGGGGGTCATGAGTTGAACAAACTTGAATCTACACTACCTGAGGATGATCCCCCATTGTGGCCCCACCCTACCCCCGGGGGTCATGATTTGAACAAAGTTGAATCTACACTACCTCCGGATGCTTCCATATAAATATGACCAATCATGGCTTTGCTGTTCTTAAGAAGAAGATTTTTAAAGATATTTTCCTATATATTTCTATGTAAAACTTTGATCCCCCATTGTGGCCCCACCCTATCCCCGGGGGTCATGATTTGAACAAACTTGAATCTTCACTACCTGAGGATGCTTCCATATAAATATGACCAATCATGGCTTTGCTGCTCTTAAGAAGAAGATTTTTAAAGATATTTTCCTATATATTTCTATGCAAAACTTTGATCCCCCATTGTGGCCCCACCCTACCCCCGGGGGTCATGATTTGAACAAACTTGAATCTACACTACCTGAGGATGTTTCCACATAAGTTTCATCTTTCCTGGCCCAGTGGTTCTTGAGAAGAAGATTTTTAAATGATGCCATTATTTTTTCACTTATTCCTAATTATCTCCCCTTGAAAGAGGGCGTGGCCCTTCATTTGAACAAACTTGAATCCCCTTCACCTAAGGATACTTTGTGGCAAGTTTGGTTGAATTAGGCCCAGTGGTTCTTGAGAAGAAGTCAAAAATGTGAAAAGTTTACAGACAGACGGACAGACAGACAGACAGACAGATGGACGCCAGACAAAATGTGATCAGAATAGCTCACTTGAGCCTTCGGCTCAGGTGAGCTAACTAGTCTTTACAAGGAACACTTGTGTGCAGATTGAATATTGTTTTTAGCTTTGCGTTGATAGAACTATGTATTCAGTTTTTACTAAATTTAAACCAAGTTTTATTGCATTCAATTTCAAATCAAAACTGTACATAGGGAGAGTAGCATTTTGAAACATTTCACATACATGTTTTCTTTTTTAATGGGAACATTGATAACTAGAATTTATGTGACTTAGTTAAGTAAGCTTGTGTAAGTGTTCCAGGTTTTATTGAAATCTGAGTCAGACCCAGACTATGTTTATTACTATTATCTGCTGCATCATTATTCATTGAAATTTTAATGTGTACAATAGTGTAGTGCACCTGTGTTCTCTGTTTAATTGAAATCAGAACAAATCTATAGATTTCTGAAAGAGTTTTACAAAAATTTCTATTTTCAGTAACTATGTCAATATTATTCATCAAAATCAAAAACCATTGTTTAGAATTATGTATCGTAGAGTAGTCTACTTGTGTACCAAATTTTATTAATTAACTTCAACCATGTCAACCAAAATTATAGGAGGAGTCATATTTTTTAAAAATGTTCCAAGACACACAGACAGTCCTTTGGTTGACAAACATCTTACCATTGTATTAACCCTTCCAGTCTTTGACCAATAGAACTAAAAATGTTATTTTTCTCCTGTCAAGAATGCATCTGTTTATCACTATCATACCTATAACATGTATATTAAAGTTCACCAGATTGTAAAAATTGTTCTTAGTCACAATAAAACTAACCTTGGAAAGGCATCAAAAAACCAAGTTCTCTTGGTCTCTGGGAATGCCACTCTCATGCCAGACATTAGTGGAGAATGAAGAATAGCTGCTCCAACCTCATATCTAGACGCCAGGTCAATGGTGGGTACTGTGCCAATACTCTGCCCATACAACACTACATTTTGAGGACTAATGCCATATCTACTACGCAGAGCTTGCCATGCGGCATCAATATCTGCATACAAATTCTTTTCTGATGGTTTTCCTGAGCTGCTTCCATATCCTGAATAGTCAAAACTAAAAATGTTACAGTTAATGCGAGACCCTAGACCTATATAAAAACTGCTCATTTGCCCAAGGTCAACAGCATTTCCATGACTAAACAACATAGTATATTTAGCATTGGGTGAGCATCTGACAAACATGCATGCTATCCTGTTTCCTTTGGAGGTTCTAGTCATGAAAACCTCTATGCAGTCCAATTCCCTTTGTGTGTACTGCCATTCCGCTCGTTCTGTCAGATGTAGGCTGTATTTGGACCCAGTATCGTCGGATATAAGGGAATAAGTTGGTTCGGGTGGGAGAAAGGCTAATTTGGCTGCTATTCTTGATGGACAAGGCGGGCAACAGAACAATCCACAAAGCTCACTAAACGATAAGCTATTCATGGTGTCAGATGATCGTGATGCTGTTGGGAGTGGTCTCTCACAAATTCTACAAAAATTTACCGTGCTATTATCACTTTCGCATAGTGTGATGGCAATGAAATGGCGTATCTCTCATAAATTTAGTGTATATTCAATTTTCATTCAAGATTTCCTTTCCTCGAAAAAAAATAATACGGTGACGTCACTCTGCTAGTCACCGGAAGATCATTTGATTAAAAGTTTCGAATATGATTGTTTTTCGTAAAGTTTTCTTCGAGCTAACAAGCTTTCTCTCGTTTAGAATTAAGACAAAATAATGTTAAAATTCGTAGGTTTATTCTTGAGGTGATTATATGCAAACATTCTTTTAGTTTCGTACTTTTCTTATAAACGTTAGAACCAAACTTTACTTTAATTAAAAGAATCCGAAGAAATCTATGGAAAATGCCCAAACAAAAATCAAACGATCACTGATGTTCAATACATTTTAATAACTATTAAACACGATTTAATATAAAATGCTTAAAAAGATGCTTGATAAAATTACCTGCTTTTGTTGCATTATCCCGGAATAAGATTTCTTGTGCATTTTATTTTGCATTTATGGAGTCCTTTTAAGTTCCTGCATGAATTCTAGACAACGTGTTTATTCGATGCTAAGTATTTAGTCAATTCAAACAGTTTTGTCTTGTTATGATGAGTACTCAGAAGGGAAATGTTCGTAAATCTGGTCCCCAAAAATATCAGAATAAATCAGCTTTTAAAAACAATCTTCATGACACAACCCCAAGAGTAAAGCTGATGAACAGTGTGGTACTGGGAGGTGTCTGCAGACGATGTAAAGATGTCATTGACTGGAAAATAAAGTACAAGAAATACAAACCACTAACGGTTCCTAAAAAGTGGTAGGTCAAACAAAACTGTTTAAACTGTTTTGATACATGTACATCAGTACATGTAAGTATTTGAAGGTGGGTGACCATGAGCGATGTGGATTTACATGTACATTGATCACATATTATTTAAAATGAGACTATTTATACCTATGTTTATCAGTATAACTAAAATTGTGAGACAGTTTGACCATGGGTTAATGTGCAGTCATATACATGTTGAAGTGAGGGCCATTTAAAAATGATTATATACAGTCTTAGTCTGAAATATCTGACGTTTTCCAGGCTTTTTCACGATTTTGATATTTTACGTGCCAGGAAAACGTCAGAACCGGTGCCATTATGAAAACTGGAAATTTCGCCATATGGATCTCCAATTGGAGTTGATTTTCAATACCCGGGAACCGAACTAAATGCTGAATTCACATTTTATCAATAGCACTATGTTTCTAGTACGCACCAATATTGATGAAAAGAAAACATCATTCCACATTTCGGTACATGACTTGAAAGATTTAAAATGCAAACAAACCTCGACAGTCAGATAAAATGTTTTCATCGGATTGTATATTTTATAAACAAACCACAAAAACAATGTCTGTGAGTACTAAAAGTATTGTACTATTAATAAATTTTGAGTTTGACATTTCATTCGGTTCGCAAGTAACGAAAATAAACTAGAATGCCGCCTCTGGTTGGAGGTGGCAAATTCCCAGTATTCGTAATGGCACCAGTTCTGACGCTTTCCTGCCACATAAAATATAAAAATAGTAAAAGAGCCAGGAAAACCTCAGATATTTCGGACTAATACAGTCTATGCTAATTTTTTTTTTTTTTGATCACACAGGGCATTTGGCCCTGTGTACTCAAGGAATACACATGATCAAAGCAAATTTTGTCAGATGGGAGAAAAACTTATGTAAGAAAGTGAAACGTGAAAATGCAAAACCAAGGAAATCTTCGGTCCATGAGGTTTTAAGCTCATCTATGTACTTGGATTTGTGCAATATTTTTTTTCTTGAAACAAAAGTTTTTATGACTCCAATTTAAAAAGTAAAACTCAAACCTGGACACTGAGTCATCGGATATTCTGGTCTGATGTATAAAATGACTCATCAGACTTGAGGTATTGTACATCAATGTCTTTCAGAAAATCTGTATGTATCAGGAGTCCATAATCAGACTCTCCATAAATTATGCTACATTAAATGGTAAGCTTCCACAGAAAATAGAATGTGACGTCACACAAGACATCATTCAGTCAGTTGCACTTCCATACAGGAGTGGGGCAAGGGTAGAGCCACAATAGAAGGTCAAGAAAATCAGGGCTGTGGGAAGCAATCTTAGTTTGGGTGGGGATGGGGGGCACAACCAAATATTTGAAGTTTGGGGGAGCACTATCAAGCAAAGATTCCTTGACAAGCAATAAAGGGGGCATCAGAGTCATTATTAAGGGGGCACAAGCATTAATTAGCTATTAATATTTTCTATAGTATAATATATATCGGCAAAATTATTACACCCACCCCTGGTCATGGCCTCTGCAAGCCTCATGGTTCCTACGGCCATGAAAATTTTGTTGAAATATTCTTAGCAAGAGCAACAGGGCCTAATTTGTCATATAAATTGCAAGCATCTTATAGTGTGATTCAACTTTAATAAAATCATCATCCTAGGGTTAGGAGGGGACTGCAATATGATGTAAAATTTTTATAAGGATATGTGTTATTTTCTCCTTCTAAACAACAGCTGGTCTTCTATTAGTTATGTTGATATGTGAGCATCTTCATACAGTTTGGATTCAAATTTGTTTCAGTTGTGAACTTTGGCTAGGATAGGGCCACCTTAGAGGTAAAAATTTTATTTATTCATATTGATAGAATAAATTTTAAAAAAATCAATTTATTTTGCAGCACAAAGTGTCTCCAAAAAAGGATAAAGCAAGCATACTATACTATCTGTATTCAGTGTGCTAAAGAAAGAAACATCTGTGCTAAATGTGGAGAAAAATCAGAAATTGTGGAAGAGTGAGTCAGACTGATCATTAATTTTCATGCTTTAATAAATTGTTTTGAAATATTAATCATTTTATGACAGATATATGTATAATTATAGCAATTATAATGTTTGCTTCGGTTTAAAAATAAAGATTAAAATATGCTTCAAAAATTCAATTCCTGAATAATACACACTTTAAATATACACATATTTTTTTTCTATGTCTAAAAGTAATGACTGAATCAGAATGACAATATTTTGATTTTTCCTAAATAGATAAATGGTCACATGTCCAAAACATTCTCTTATCACGACAGGAGTCTTCAGGCAATATTTTATAATAAGTTTTTATGTTGTCTGAGTCACTCAGGTGACCCTTAGCTATCTGTTTGTCCATCATCATGCGTCAGTAGTTAATTTTTGAGCATTTTCAGTTTCTTTCCTTAAACTGCTGAACCTTTTTTATCCAATTTTAGCATATAACATTAGTGTTGAAGAGGTACAAATATTATGAATTTCTAGGTCCCTGTCCCCCTGGTGCCTGAGGGATGGGGCTAAAACCATCAAGATTAGTGCTACATATATCTTTAAAATCTTCTTCTTCACTCCTAGACATCAAGCAGAAATACTATTTGGCTTGATTATAATAAGCATTGAGCCCTCTATCAAACTGGTGAAAATTGTAGCCCCAGTGTCAGGGGTTCTGTAGTTGAGGCGGGACTCTAATGATGATATGTGTAGTGAAAATACATTAATTCTTTGAAAATCTTATTCTCTTGTTCCTGTATATTAAGCAAACAAAGTGCATAGTTATAATGACCAAGGATGCCTATACAAAATTGTAAATTTCATGGCTTCTTGGTCAGGGGTTCTGGTGTTAGGGTTGGGCTCTGTTGATAATATAGTGAAAATACATTTAGTTTTTGAAAATGTTTTCCCCTGCTCCTACGTATTTAGCAGAAATTATATGATGAGCAAGGGTGCTTCTTCCAAAACAGTGAATTTTTTTACCCTAGGGTCAGGGTTCTGGTGTTTGAAGGGGGGGGGGGGGGGGTGAGTCTATTGATTATGTAGTGAAAATGCAGTATTTCTTTGAACTTCTTCTCTGCTCCGGGATATTAAACAAAGTGCATAGTTATGATGAGCAAAGGTGCCTCTTCCAAAATTATGAATTTCATGGCCCCTGGGTCAGGGGATCTGGTGTTAAGACAGGGCTTTATAAAACAGATATTGAAAACAAAAATGCATAAATTATTTACATATCTTCTTCTCTGCCCCTGGGTATTTAGCAGACAAACTAGTTCCATGCATATGGTTATAATGAGCAAGGATGCCTCTTCAAAATTATGAAATTCATTACTCGGGGGTCAGGGATTTTGGTGTTAGGACAGGGCTTTGTTGTATGTTATCATGAAAATGTATTATTTCTTTGAATATCTTCTCCTTTGCATCTGGGTATTAAGCAAACATACTTAGTGCATGGTTATGATGAGCAAGGGTGCCTCTTTCAAAATTGTGAATTTCTTGGCCCCTGAGACTAGGGCCTCTGGTGCTAGCATGGGGCTCTATTAATAATGTAGTGAAAATACTTTATTTCTTCAAAAATCATCTTCTTCGCTCCTGGGTATTTAGTGAACAAAGTCAGTATATGTTTATGATGAGCAAGTGTGCCTCTCCCAAAATTATGAATTTGTTGGTCCCAGGGTAAGGGGTTATATTGTTAAAACTGGGCTGTGTTGAATTTTTGTGAAATTGCATTAGTCTTTGAAAATCTTTTTCATTGCTCTTGGGCATCTAGGAGGTGAACAGAGTACAAAGTTATAATATGCAAGGGTATTTTTACCAGATTTTGAAATTCTGGACTACTTGGTCAAATGCTCTGGTGCTGGGCAGGCCTTTATTAATTTGTAGTCTACTGAGAGAAGGAAATTACCATTTGCTATTCATCTTTGATAATTCATCACTGTAAATAATGTAACTGAAAGGACAATTGAATGAGAAAATTATACAAGAATTTTTATAATACATATTTCATAGTTTTTAATGGTCAGGTAGAGATGTAAATAATAGATAAATATACATTATCTTTGTACATTAAATGTTCCTCAAGGAATAAGAGAGGTCAAAGTGAGAGGGAATGAGATTGGTTTAGCTCTATTGTTTTGTTTTGTCTGAATGATGATAGTGATAAATGGGTCCAAGTACAGGCAATTACTATACATGTACATGTACATACATTGACGTATTCAAAATTTAGAACAATCACTGGGTTTTGAGTTGTTGGAGCGATCATGAATTAGCAATACGCATATCTGCACCTTGCATTGTATTCAATAATGATTTATTAACAGTATTCATGAATTAGTGCATTGTTGTCCACACCAAAGCCATTAAAATATAAAGCCTGCTTTTCTAATTACACATACAGTTAATAGATCTAGTTTTAAGATATGTTACCAAGTACTAGACTAATTATTTTGTTTATCCCTGATCATCCTATTATTCTTGCTTTTGGGCAACATAGGTTCATCTATAAGTTTATTTTGTTTTATTTTATACTTCTATGGATCCTTTACAATGTTGAATTATACTCAGGTGACCTTTAAGGTCCTTGGGCCTTTATTTAGCTATTATGTACACATTTAGGGCAGAGACACGCACTCCTGCAGAACAAATGTCAAATGAAGCACAGCTAGAAGCAGAACTGAAAATGTTACCAGAGAGAAAAAGAAGTAAGTTATGTAATTCTTTAATTGGTTCAAATTCACTGATTTATTTCAGTTGTCTTTTTTTGTTATTCTTTATCATTGAGGAATGCATTAGAGTGTAACAATGTGTGGCTGATCCTCATTCATGTACAGAAATGCCATTACACAGTCAGAATTGCATTTTAACAAACTTTTTTTTTACAATGAGAGTCCCTATTCCTGTAAAGTGAAAAAGAATGAAATAAGATAACTCTTAAAATACTGATGTCTTTTCTTCCTGTACAAGAAATTTAGTACTGAACTATTTGTATATGAACAAGATCTAACCATATTTTTTCATGTAATTTCATTAAATGATCCAATACTACTGTAAATTTGAAGCAATTTCTTTACCATATTATGCTGAACTTTTCATTCTACAAGAAATTATAGTTGAAAATTTTGTTAAAGTTCTTTTTTTCATTTTTTTCCAGGAACCATTTTCCGTGTACAACAGCAAGGAAAGTTATCGAGCGAACAATTAGAAGAAGCATGTGGAGATGTTGATGATGAGTTTTTGAATGATTCTGATGACTTACCTACAGAAGACACAGATCCTGATGATGAGGAATGTCACGAGGACTTTTGTAATGAAAGCGATGAGACTAGCAAAGAAAAAAAAAGCGATGAGACTAACTAAGAAAAAAAATAGTGTTATAACTTAAGATGAATAAGAATGTTTTTAATACATGCATAAAATTTTGATCAATGTTATTTATTGTATAATAAAACTTTCTCAATAAAAAAGAGCAGCTACATATTCATCTACATACATGTACAGTTACATTACATAGGACGATGACTCTTTACCCGCGGGTATTTTAAGTTCAGACGGAATTTCGGTATCTATTTCAAGATCGATTTCAAGTCTTTAAATGAGTTTTTTAAACTTGCTTAAGTTTAAATCGTCATATAAACATTCTCTTTTGTTTGTGATTTTCTGGAAATAAGATGGATTAATCAGGTCTGCAGATTTTATTGTCATTAGATATTTTTTAATGAGGACAAGCTGCCCTTATCCAAATTAGGATTTCCTCTGACATTCTTCACAACATCACATCATCAGTGAACAGGGTGTAATGAACAATATTAGTTCTGCAGACATATTTATCATGGCGCCTTAACGGGTAATTATATTTTATATTACGACGTCATGTTATGACGTCATTGTTCTTTATTACTCAAGGATTTCCCTAAATGCCTAGACTCAACGTCCCAAAATGCCTAGAACCATTAATTGATCAGAGTTTGAGAAAACTTACACAGGACCATGCATTTTTACCCCATTTCAACTCGAGACTTTACAAATAGTAACATGACAATCAAACTGTCGATATTTGTGCAGTAAATATATGAAACAAAAATATAATCAGTTTTGTTTAAAGTAATCATTTCGCAAATTCCATGGTTGATATAATGACCTAGCTTCTCAGCAAATACAATCAATCATTAAGTCGAATGCTGATTGACTATTTTCCTACAAATTGTTAGACCATTATTTCTACGAAATTTTTCTGTTTTCCAGATCATAACCAGGAACACACGACGGGAGTGACCGATTGGCAGGGGATGCTCACTCCTCCATGGCACCTGATCCCATCCTGATGTTTTAGAGGCCCGTGTTTGCTCTGCTCCTGATTCGTATCGTTTCATTGGCCTTTTGAGCTTGATTACTGTTCGTTTTCTGTGCATCTTCTAAAATTGTGAAATTAATGAGCCCTAGCTGGATAAGGGGTTCTGGTGTTTAGGCAAGGTTCTATTAATCATATATCCATTATGCATTAATTCTTTGAAAATCTTCTTAATATCCGTCCATGGGAATGTAGCAGACAAGCTAAGTGCATGGTTATTTTGAGCAAATGTGCCTTTTTTCCAAAATAGTGAAATTTACGCTCCTGGTTGAGTCAGGAGTTCTGGAAAAGGGGGGGTATTATAACACATATTGAAATGTTTACTAATTTATTCTCCTTTATTATACTTTAATGATAATTAATGGTTATAAACTATGTTATTGATAATAAAATGTATGGAGATAAAGAACAGTATTCAAGCTCAAATTTTGGAGCAGAGCAAACACGGACCTCTAAAACATCGGAGGTGGGATCAGGTGCCATGGAGGAGTGAGCATACCCTACCGACCGGTCACACCCGCCATGTGCTCCTTGTCAGGATCGGGTAATAACGTAAAAATCCGTCGACAATTCAGTGTGTAAATAATGGCTAACAATTAGTATGAAAAACGTCAGTCAGCATTTGACTTGATATATATATGATATATGATAAATTGTATTTGCTGACAAGGTCATTGTATCGACCATAGAACTTACGAAATGACGACTTAAAATGAGACTGCTGCTTTCTTGTTTCATCAATTTGTTTGTCAATAACTTTAGTTACCGCGTTATAGAAATTGTTCATAAGTAGACCATGCTCTTGCGTATCGAATCAACCGAGAGATATAAACGCCGTATGCAGGTGATGAAGGTATATTGCTGCATAAGTAAGGGAAGTTGACCATTGAAAAGTTAAGGTCATCACGTTTATCATAAAGCTTGGTTGTTAAATTATCATTAACGTCTTTTTCTAGTAAAATATCCATATATGAAACAGATGTGTCAGACTGGTACCGATTGGGATTCCAATAGATTGTTGAAAGACCTGGTCTCCAAAAACCGCATAGATATTGTCAATCAGATACTCAAGCATTTTTTTAATATCAACTTCAGAGTACTTGTGTGTACAATCAGAATGTTTTTTAACAAAATAATTTTGCAAATGACCAGTGACAAGGCAAGTGAATTTACGAGATCCATTTTTATTGAAAAAGCAGCTGTCAATGGTATCAAAAAAGCCTGGATTTTAATTTATCGTCGGGAATGGTTGTATATAAAGTTGAAAAGTCGTAATTTTTTATGTTGATTTTGGTAAATCTTTGTGATTTCAAATAAGTATCCACATCTGATTTACACCACTTCTCGAATATATATAATATTGCACAGTACTCCTGAAGTTTCTCCTTCACTACTGTTAATATTTTAGTGAGGAGTAAATGAACATTTACTGGAACACACTCTGTATCTGTTTGTAAGGATTTTTATGAAGTTTTGGAATCCAATATAGATATGGTAATTCAAATTCGTGTTGGTTGTTTGGAATATTAAAAACTTTAAAAACTGACAAATGATTTTGAAGAATTTCCTCTTTAGAAAGGGAGCTATGGGTATAAGTTGGATTAACACTGGTTGAAATAAATCCCAGTTCCTCTAAAATACAATTTAAATAATGAGCCTTACAAATAAATACAATGTTGTTACCTGCTTTGTCAGCAGGGACCAGTACATACTGATCGTGTAATCTAGTATTTAATTCTTTTTTCACTTCTGAATTATTGAACACAGAAGGATAGTTGGTTTTCATTTTAATCGCTTAATGCGAGATTTTAACATACATCCGATACATTTAATCCATTTTGACCACGTGTCAGGGTCTTATTTTTCATGTCTGGCCCATCGCCTGGCGTAATCTTCCACAGAATCCATAATATTTATGACATTTTGACGCCAGTTATTTTAATGATTTAAGATCATCATTATTTACTATATTTACGTCACCAGTAATAACGTGTCCAGCAGGACTTTAGTTGTAAGGTGAAGAAGAACATGAACAGGAAGGAGGACTATGTATCAGATTCTCATTATCCAGGCTCTGTAAAGTTTTCTTGTAATTAAAAAGTTTGGAAGCAATAGTCGATGTATTTTTGTAGGAAATACAAGGTGTAGTCTTCAACTTGAAATATGGTGGAATACAAGACAGGACCCTTTTGTGATTAAGAATATTACTTATATTAACCGTGTCAATTCCTTTGTTGGCATGTTGGAGTTTAAGGGAAAAAACGGGTTGTTTTAGCTGCATTTTCTTCTGTAAAACGTGGCGGTTTAAAAAACCGATGATTTGCAATAACCATAACCACAGATACGAGTCTGTATTTTGGTGTCGAGGAATCAAAAATGGACTTTCCTTGACTTTTTCAAGTAGACTATTTAAAAGTTTCAAGGGGACAGAGTACAGTTTGATGCGAATGTGATGAAGACCTAACTGTTGATTTACATAAGGTAGTAATGAATCAAAAGAGACATCAATTATTAAAGGTTTATTGTAAGACCGATGCCCAGGACTACGCTTACGTCTCTGTGTACGGTCAAAAAGTCCCATCACATTTACATTGTTACACTGTGGACTGGAAAGATTCCCAACACTATCGACATTGTCATTGCATCCATAGGGAAAGGCCGTGCCTAGCTTTCTAATCCAATATTCTATTCGTTGTCTACGGAAAGGTGTACTCAGTGATGGACTGTTTGTATGATTGTAAATCTTTTCTAGAATTCTAACTTTCATTGACAAAATAGAATGATCAGGTAAATTAAAATGCTTGTTTAGAAGCTGCTGGCCCCCATTGTTAATTTGGAATCTGTGTCCTGATATTCTTTTCTTAAGTGCATGAACCCTTGGTTTCACCAACGCAAACAAGTCCACAAAGATTACATTATATTCCGTAGACAACAGTAGAAGATTTGCAGTTCAGACTTTCCCAAGTTTTGGTATCTAATATAGAAGCTCTGTCGAGTAACATTACTACAATGTAGTAAAAGAAGTTTTAGTTATCAAAATGTCTCAGGTTTTCACCAACATAAACAAGTCCATAAAGATTACATTATATTCCGTTGACAACATTAGAAGGTTTGCAGTTCAGATTTTCCCAAGTTTTGGTACAGAAGTTTTGTCCAGTAAGATTACTAGTAAAAGAAGTGTAAGTTTTCAAAATGTCACAGGTTTTACAGTTTTTCACAGAACATTTTGAAATAGAAGACATGGGATCGGAATAGGAATCTTCAAATATATCGCTAACAGAAACTTTACATTCTTTCAATTTTTTTTTTGTATGAATTATTGATTCTATACCAAAACTGGGAATCTGAAGACTGCACATATGACATATGTTTAATATCCCCGAGGATTATCCCAGGGGCACCGAATGAACTCTGTTCAAGTTCACTGGGATATCGAGTCGATATATGAATGGAAGTAACTATTGTTAAATGATAATACGCCGTTAATATATCTAAATGTGAAGTTGAATGCCACAGCAAGTGTCTTCGTCTTCTCATGTAAAAGTTTTTGAATAAATTAAGTTTCATATGAATACAAAAATAGGTCTGCTAATAACGGGAAGCAATTGGTTCTCATGGGAATTCTGACAGATTATTTGAAGACCCGATCTCCAATAAAAACTACAGATTTAGATACAATCAGAATGTTTTTTTAACAAAATAACTTTGCAAATGACCAAAGACATGGTAAGTTGATTTACGAGTTCCATTTTTATTGAAAAAGCAGCTGTCAATGATATCAAAAATCCTGGACTCTATAACTTGTCGCGGGAAATTGTTGTATGAAGTGTTGAAAAGACTTACGCTTCGATGCAATTGATTTTGGTAAAATTTTGTGATTTCCAATTTTCTGAAAGTTCCTTGGAATTGTTAAGTATCCACATCTGATTTACACCACTTATCGAATATATTCTTGTACAGTACTCTTGAAGTTTCTCCTTCACTGCTGTTCATATTTTAGTGAGGAGTAAAGACAGAGGCTTGGTAGAACATTAACTGGAACCCACTATGTATCTTTTTATGAAGTTTAGGAATCCAGTATAGGTATTGTAATTCAAATTCCTTTTGATTTGATTGTATTATAAATATTAAAAACTGACATATGATTTTGAATTTATTCCTTAGAAAGGGAGCTATGGATTTAAGTTGGATTGCCACTTGCAGTAATAAATTAAGAGTAACACAAGAATTTTTAATATACATGAATTTAAATAAAGCACTTTCTTAGTTTTTAATATTTTGCTAGACTTTTTAAATCAAAGCTGAAAAAAGAAACAAAATTATCAAATATATGTACATTAAATATCATTTAAAGTCCAAATGAGGCCAATAGTATGCAATACATGTATGTGAATACTGTGTTGTATGCTTAAGCAAAATTGTCCTCTTAAGAAAAGAATTCAAAATGTCCATATATTGTTTTGTACTTCTTTAATAGAGTTTTAACATCAAGAAGAAAGTCGTTCGGCTATCGTGCAATGTCTGTGACAATGACAAAGCGAATTAACATTAGAGTAACAACAAAAGGTAAACTGAAAACGTGGCACTCAATAGTGCTAAACAAAAGTCATGCTTTTGCCTTGAACCCTGGCCACTTTGTGACCAAGCAAAATTTGTTTTCAAATATTAAGAATATATTATTTAACAGAACTATTCAAAACAAAATCTTATTTAGCCTAAAAAAAATCGAACATCGACATCTTGCAATTGTTAGTTACAAAAAAAAAACAAGAAACAAAAAAAAAACACGTACAGCACAGTTTGTCCCCGTCAAATGCACACATTCAATTTTTTTCTGTCTTTATCTTAAATTAAATGAAAAAAAAATCAGATTGTGTTGAGAGATAAATACATATTTACCAATTTTTTCCCCCCAATATGTTGGTAAGCCCCGTGTACTAGGGCGAGGCATAGAGTGAGATCGAACTTCTAATTAGGAGGAGATGGGGAAAAATCTTTAAATTAATTTAAAGAACAGCTGGACTCAAGTAAAAAATCAAAATGCAAGTACGAATATCTCAATGTGGTAAGTAAGTCAAGTATAAAAATTGCACTTGGGTATCTATGGTTAAATTATGAGTAAAAATGAATATTTTAAAAAGAATTTGGTGGACTCCATAAAATATTGAGTACACGAATGAAAATATGAAGGGGCGCATATATGATCTTAGCCTATTTATCCACAATTAAACAATTCATGGTACAGAAGTATAATGTTTCGATTTCTAAAATGCAAAGGGAGATATCTCTCCTTATATTTCCTCTAGTAATGATGTCATCTCGTATAGGCTGAGGGTTATCTCGTAGATCTTAAAAGATATCTTCACGTTTGAGATATTTGACTATATAAATTACATACATGTATATCTTGCGCAAGAAGAAAATGGTAATTGATGCACTAGAAAGTAACCAGCTTGCAAATGTATAGGAGAATGCATTCATTTACGTGACATCACGCTTCGGTAATTGGATTACACATTGTGCATTGTGAAAAAAATTGCAGTGACATATCAACTGAAAAAGAGGCTCTCCCTGTTTGCTTTCATTTTTAAATGATTACAAACAGGAAAATGCATAATTAAAATACTGAGAGAACCGGGTGATCATGGCCGTTTTAAGTGAAGAGAAGAGTTCTGTTTAAAAATATAGAGAATGGAATTTTTAAAAAATATATATATAACAGCTAGATTACTATTATTATTCTTATTTTTATTTTTAAAAATAATAGTTTGTGGCTAGAAAAAATCATATTTTTTTTATAATTTAAGTCATAAAGTGCATCTGTTACATGTAGATAGGTCTAACTTGTTAACAACACAGCCTCCTTAATTATTATAGTATGTCGATCTCAACGAATATTCGAATATTCATTCGATGAGTTGATGTCTGATGTGAGTTTAGAATCGAATGAATATTCGAAGGGGGGGGGGGAGGTCAGCATGCTTAAAAAAAGATAATCATCATGAATTTAATTGGCACAGTGACGGAATTATCTCTCTCATATATAAACTTTGATCCGCCGATATGTTTCACTACTTTCTGAAAAGAAATCTACTAGATTAATTCATTCCGAGTTGTGCTTTTAAAGGGAAAAAATGTCCGAAAAATCAAATTTTTGGCAATATTCTGAGAAGGATAGCATGGATGAATGAATATTTAGTGACGTGTTAAAGGCTAAGTGATATATCTTGACAGAGAAAGGTTTTTCTGAGATTTTGAATTGATACCTTGTGTACAAATTCCCGTCTTAAATTGTAACACAGTCGGATATATTAGAATCGGGGACAACAAACTTTAATCTTTGTCAGACAATCTAACAGATGTGGAGAGATAACCTATGAAAATAAATTTCATTTAATGAATACAAAGCAGTACCCCCCCCCCCCCAAAAAAAGAAAACAGTAATCATGGTAATTGCTATCGAAACAAAATTCAAACCAAATGTTTCATATGACAATGCAAAACAAGAACGCAACGGAAGATGAGGTAAGAATGAATAAAAGTTTTTTTTTTTTTCCGTGGGAAGCTTTTCTTTGACATAAAATATCTTAAAACAAAAAAAAAAAAAAAAAAAAAAAAAATTAAAAAAAAATTAAAATTTTAAAATGCGAAACTGGAAAATGTCCATTCCGAAGTTACCTGCCCAACTGTGCTTGTAATGAATGATGCATATTCATGTGTATATGGATGATACAAGGATGTTAATTTTACTGATCCTGATTGTAATTTAAACCAAGTCACAGTCTGTTTCTGATAGATTGCATAACTCTGATTATGTGCGTTACCTTTTAAAATCCTACTTGAAGTTTTTATTACAAAGTAAAAACAAACAAAGCATGACACAAATTAGGGATACATGTAGGTATACATTGAGAGAAAAGAGTTTGACAATGAGGGATCTTCGTAACCTCTTGATTGTTTTTGGCTCCATTGTTGGTACGTTATTATGATAGCAATGAATTTATTGTAAAACATCATTCTGTTTAATTAGGCTTTTTGCATTTATTTAACAATTTAGCTTTAAACATTTCAGTAAATTAAAAATGTGTTTTTTGTCGGTTTTCCCAAATATAGTGCATTAGTGATATGTTTGTTTAAGGAAGAGGGGAAAGTAATGTTGTTCCCATTTGTATAATTTCTACACAATAAAATATGTAGAAACCAAATAAGGGAGTCTTACTTATAATCATACTGATTATGAAATTATACATTACATTGACATCAGGATTTTTTCTTTTTTTTTTTTTTTTGATTAAGTGAACTCTATTACCATATAACCAAGGACTGGAACACTGTGTTAAACATATACCATGTTGCAAAAATAACGTCTTTATTCATTAAAATTAAGATGGCGGATACCTTTAACCAATGCATTCTCTTGTTTGGAAAGGAATATGAAATGAAATTTACTAGGTTGCATTTTGTGTTGATGTTACGTATTGTTGTGGTTCATTGATGCTCACGCGCAGATTTTTTAAGATACTGATGAAGAAAAAAAAAGGGAAAAACAGAGTGAAATTTACATAACTTTGTATATTAAACAATGGTCTATTTTATGCTACACTGTAAAATAACTTTAAGATCATCCTGCAATTCGACACACTTTGATATGGCATACTCTAGCTCCCAGTGCGTGAATTTTCTGTTTTAATAGAAAAAAGGAAGAGAAATTAAGCGCTTTTAAGCTTGTGGAGCGGGAGTCCCTTCTTAAAAAGTTGCAAAAGTCTAAATGCAACATCTAGAATTGATTATACATGTAAATATAAATGAGTTACATGTATACAGGTCATGCGTCTTTCTTCTAATTACAATGAAGGACAGAATGGCGATGTATATTGAAATACAAAAGAAAATATCTTGTTGATATAATTAATTACTAGTGCCACCCTATTCTTAACAGTTTTTACTCTAAAGAAAAATTGAGTTTTAATTTTTTTTGTGAAAAATGACAACCACACCACAGATTTTCGGGGTTTTTCCATTTTGTCTTTCATTTACCTAAACAGAAACGAACCTTTCAAACTAACCCGGTAATGTTTTTATTGAAGTTAAAGCGCAAAAATTGCATTATTGAGGTACATATTTTAAAATATTGTTGTATATTTCCTTACTTGATTACTTATATGTGTAGTTTTGTTGTAGTTTATATGACGTCTTTTCTATCAACAGGTATCTTACATTTTAAAAATGTGATTTCGTATGCACAAACTTGTAATTAACACTCAATGGAAAGTTCTTTGATTTTTTTTAATAATTGAGGGATAAGAGTATTAAATTGTACTCGTGTGTCACCTAGATACATGAAGCTGATAACTTACTTTGATTTTTTTTCCAGGATTTTTAACAGTAGAAGCACAGAGCTACTATCGATACAACTCATACAGTTACTATACTTCTTACTCGACCTATAACGATACGTAAGTAAATAAGTACTAATGTAAAGTTACATACACAGTTTCCTATCGCATTTTGATTTTTGCGTAATTATCTCTTTTCGTTCATTAATTTTCTTTTCAATGTCAGATCTGAAAGTAAACCTATCGCTACATACAATTTACATTTACGCTACATACAGTTTTGCCTAATTAAGCTGCTTCTTCAATTTATAAATTAGATATATAGAATGTTTATATTTTTACAAAATATCTCATTATATTTTCAAAAGTTGTGTACTATACCTTTTTTCAATTTAGAGACATATCATGAAAAGGTTTATCTATTAAAGAAATAAGAGGCCCAAGGGCCTTAATTAACAGATATCTAAATATTACAACCTTGTAAAGGATCCATAGAATAGCAGTTGAATAATCATTATTACATACTTAGCAATAAATAAAGGTTTTTTGTTTGTTTGTTTGTTTGTTTGGTTTATTTTGTTTTGTTTTGATTTTTTTTTTTTTTTTTGGTTTTGTTTTTTGCATAGGCGATATGTCTGACGTCACATTAGTATATTACTACCCATGTACATATATTATTACTCCGACCGTAATACATCTCTTGAGGAAGTCTTCTTAATCCTTTGAAAGTTTTTTTTTTTTTTTTTTTTTTTTTTTTTTTTTTTTTTTTCACCAGAGTACATTTATTTATCTTTAAGACTAAACTAATGAACATCAAAATAAATGGATGTTTTTTATACGAATTGTCCTATTCCTTTATTCCAATGACCTAAAATTTGAATTGAAACATTTTACTTTTGTTTTAGTTTTCCATTACTATGTATTTATACATGTACATACGTTTAATTTTCCTCCGCAAAAAATGAAGATGAAATGTTTCTTAATTTTTTTTTCAAATATACTAATGCTGATAAGAAAATGACAAAATATGTTGAATTATGGTTTAGCTTTACTTTTTATGGGAAAAAACTATAGTGCTAATTTTCCTTTTGTCTATTAAATTAAATTTGTTGTAAGAAGTGTTCTCAGAAATTGTTAACGAATATACATGTAAAATTATATTCTACTTAAATTATTTAAAGTATTTGTATATTATTACTAAAGATGTAATAAATATAATAAATTTAAACATACACTTTTACTTATCACACCCCATATTGATATGCCCTCGATCAACTGGTATCAGCCCCTTCGGGCTTCCAGCCCCGTGCTGATATTACTGTCTCGGATTGATACAGCGTGTAATATGGAAAAGAGTTTGTATTATTCTCCATATAGTAAAGCAAGATAAACTGGTAGAAAAGGAAATGAAGCTGAAATGTTGCTTAATTTTTTCAAATATACAAATGTTTAATTTTCCTCCGCAAAAAATGAAGATGAAATGAATTTTTTTTTTCAAATATACTAATCAAATATACTACTTTCAAAGAATGAAGAGGGGTTCCTCAAGTGGTGCATTACTGTCGGAGTAATAATACATGTACATGGGTAGTGATATACTAATGTGACGTCAGACATACAGTATCCCATATGCAAAAAAAAAAAAAAAAAAAAATTGGAAATCACAAAATTTTACAACCATTCCCCACGATAAATTGAAGTCCAGGCTTTTTGACATTATAGACAGCTGCTTTTTCAATAAAAATGGAACTCGTAAATATACTTACCTTGCCATTGGCCATTTGCAAAATTGTTTTGATAAAAAGCAGTCTGATTGTATACACAAATACTCTAAAGTTGATTTTAAAAAGATGCTTGAGTTTCTGATTGACAATATCTATGTAGTTTTTGGAGATAACGTCTTCCAACAATCTGTTGGAATTCCCATGGGTACCAATTGAGACCCTATTAGCAGACCTATTTTTGTATTCATATGAAGCAGAATTTATTCAAAAACTTCTACATGAGAAGAAGAAAATACTTTCTGTGGCCATTTCGTTATATCGACGACGTATTATCAATTAACAATAATTACTTTCGTTCACATGTCGACTCAATATATCCCAGTGAGCTTGAAAATAAAAGATACCACAGATTCTGACACATCTGTTTCATATTTAGATATTTTACTAGAAAAAGACGTTAATGGTAACCTAACAACAAAGCTTTATGATAAACGTGATGACTTCAACTTTTCAATCATCGACTTACTTAACTAATGTAGCAATATGCCCTTATCACCTGAATATGGGATTTATGTCTCTCAGTTGATTCGATACGCAAGAGCATGCTCTACGTAAGGACAATTTCTAAAACGAGGCAAACTATTGACAAACAAGTTGATGAAACAAGGATATCAACAGTCTTGTTTGAAGTCATTATTTCGCAAGTTTTACGGTCGATACAATGACCTTGTCTGCACATACAACCTATCATTAAGTCAAATGCTGACTAATGTTTTTCATACTAATTGTTAGGCCATTACTTAAACACTCAACTGTCTACGGATTTTTCCGGTTTTTTTTTCGATCATGACAAGGAGCACACGGCGGATGTGACCGGTCGGCAGGGGATGCTAACTCCTCCATGGCACCTGATCCCACCTCTAAATTTTGAGGTCCGTATTTGCTCTGCTCCAAATTTGTATCGTTTCATTGGACTTTCGAGATTGAATACTGTTCGTTATCTTCATATTTTATAATTATATTTCACTTTAAAAAGAGAAATAAGGTGATCAAGGATCAATAAAATAGTTTATATGGTAATTTGTAACGTTTCAAAATATTTTATGCCATTTAAGATATCATTGAAGGGGGGTTGAATATGTCACTTAAGATATTATTGGGTGGGGGATTTTGACCCTCAGATCACTGTCCAGTGCACTGTTAAATTGATCATCGTGTTCCTATGCATGACACATGGATAAAACTAGATGTGTAAGTATGCAATGAAAGCCGTGACAGCAGGCAAGTTAGATCTCGACATAAAGAAGACGGTATATGTTACAGCAGTGAAATGGAAGGTAAACAAGAAAATATCTAGGACAGCGTGCAACTCGGAGGCTAGATCATTTTACATGTACCTGAAATGCCAGTGCTAACTATTCTCCCAATTGTTACTATCACCGAATTTAAAAACAGAGCTTCAGCATGAAAGTAATCATTTCCTTTCAATTGGCCTCTCCTGAATAACATTAAATTTTAAAGAACAAATTTATTTTTTTTTAATTTATAAGCCTGATCTACATGACCATAAAACTATAGATTTTAAGTACTTTTTTGTATTATACATTAGAATGTTTTATGATTCCTTCTATTCAAGTGTCCTATCAATTACAAAACAACAATGATTACTCAGTCTGCATGATTATCATAGGTGAATAATCAAAGGGGGATATCTTCTCTGAAAGTAGAGAAAATTTTCCACATATGATCAATGGAGCCTTAACCTTAGCACCAGAACTAATCATTTAGTGTTCATGAATTTCACAAATCTGGTCAAAACTCCCCTGCTCATTACAACTTTGTACTTGGTGTGCCTGCTAGACGCCCATAAACAGAGTAAGGTTTTCAACAATTTTTTTTCATTTTCACTATAACCCCTCCTTTCCTGCCCTAACCTCAGAACCCCTGACCCAGGGGCCGTGAATTTCACAATAATGAAAGACGCATGCACCCTTGCTCATCAAAGCTTGCACTTCTTTTGTCTGCAAAATACCTAGAAGTAGAGTAGTTTTTCAAATAATTTATGCATTTTCACTTCAACCATGCATTTACTACTAATTTTTTCTGTGAATTAAAAAGTGCAGATAAGAATATTATTAAAGAATTCATAAATTTTCATTATTTGATTAATAGAGCCTAACCCTTACATCAAAACCCCTAGCACTGCGGCTATGAATTCGTCAATTTCGGTAGAGGTCTCAATATTCATTATAATCATACCAAACAGTTTGACTGCTTAATGTCCAATTACTAGTAATGAAAAGAGTTTTGAAGATTATCCATTTATCCTGTGCCTTTTAATTGTTTGACATTGGTTCAGAGATTTTTGAGAAAAAGATGAAAATGTTAAAAAGTTTAAAACCGACGGACGACTAGCAACGCACGACTACGGACGAAACTGATACCAATAGGTCAACAAAGTGAATCAGGTTACCTAAAAAAAATGGGATGTCTAAAATCACGGCGGAAACCGATTGTCTTCCAGCCTCTTTTTGAATACTTAAAGAGAGAATGTGGTCATGTAGGACACATACTCCTCAAAATTTCATTAAAACTGGTCCTCAGATTGAATAATTTTTATCTTACATGTATCGTTAGACAACCAAAAGTTTCAACATAACCTTCCTCTAAAGTTTTTGAGAACCGACCTACATTTTTATGTAACAACAAAACTGCTGAATGATGACGTAGTTTTTTATTTAAAAATTCTTCCCAATTTATCAAATTTTTATCATTTTCTCACAAGACAGACTGGTTTACGTAGGAGCTATCGTTGGGGGCGTGGTCTTCATTGCTGCTATAGCGATTACTGTTGTTGCATGCATATGTTGTCGACGACAACGTGGGGCAACTGGTGCTGTCATCCACTCAACATCAAATCCTACTCAAGTCGTATTTAGCACATGTATGTTTTCAAATGTCACTTATTCTCTCTCTCTCTCTCTCTCTCTCTCTCTCTCTCTCTCTCTCTCTCTCTCTCTCTCGGTCGATCGATGTGAACATGTTAATTATATTTTCTTTTTTTTTAATATAGCTATTTCATTTTATTTCAATAGCACAACCTGGGCAACATCTTCCAGGTATACTTGCTCAGCAGCCTACATTCTACCAAACTCAACAGAATACTTGTAGGTGTTACACATGGAGATGTAATGTACTCTCTCTCTCTCTCTCTCTTTCTGTGTGTGTGTGTGTGTGTGTGTGTGTGTATGTGTGTGTGTGGGAAGGCCATATTGGGGACCTTCGACAGATACGCAAGTCGTAAATTGGGGACATAAAAAACATTGGGGACTTGAATCAAGTCCCCAAACTTTTTTATCGTTTAAAAGGAAAAATTGACATGTGTTAATCCTAAAAAAGTAAAAAAATTAACGTGTCCCAGTTTCGGGGTTTCATCGAACAAATGATTACACAGATATCGTGCGGATTGAAGTTGCCATCTTCACTTACACACCTCTGACGTTACACACATCTAGAATGCGCATGCGCGTGTGTAAAGAGAGCGGAAGTCCAATTGTTTTGAAGCGGGACATAATAAACATGTCGAAAAAAGACGCAGAGGAAAGCCTGGGCAGAGAATCCTAGATTCTTTTGATGAGGATGGATTCTATGTTAAAGAAACGCTGGAAAACGGTATGTTTTATTACTTGTTCGATGAAATATGGTGTATAGAAACTTACATCAAAGTGTAAGGGGGGGGGGGTCAGTGACGATTGCTGCATATCGGGTACTCTGTTGAAATGAAAAGACAGTTCGTATTTATGTGATAATTTTCTTTCTTGGAATAGTACACAATGTATGCTATTCATTTCACAATGATTTAAAATTCATCAAATGAAAGGTATAATCGAATGTGTTGTGTGTGTCATTTCAACATGAAATGAACTTCACTTATTTTTGTAAGATTTAACTTAACTAAATTTGGTCCGTGTTAATTGGAGATTTTGGAAACGTAGTTCACATATATGCTTTTTTAGCCAATAGTGAGATCAGATTGTAACCCCCCCCCTTTTCTTCTTGAAATCTGTAACCTCTTACTTGGTTTTTTAGCCAAACGTGAGATCGGATTGTAATCATCACCCCCCCCCATCCCCCTTCTTTTTTAGCTCAGCAACCTATTTCTTTTTTTTGTTTTTGTTTTTTTTATTTTTTAGCCAAAAGTGAGATCTGATTGTAAACACACACACCCCCCCCCCCTTCTTCTTGAGAGCTGCAATCAATTACTTCCTCTTATTTCGTGTTATGCTTAGAATATAATATGATTATCAATTTAACTTAAATTTAACTTATGCCTATAATATATAGACATCATTTCAATTGTTTTTAATTGAATATTAATGGTTTCATAACTCATTAAATTTAGCTTAAAGCCTTAAGGAGGATATTCGTGGAGCCAGCTTGAATATATTCTGATCTGCTCTAATGCCCTGTTCACATGGAAAGTTTTATTTGCAGCAAAATAATGCGAATTAAACTAATACAATTAAACTAATGCAAATTAAATTGCATTCAAATGACAGCTAATGTGAACTAAACTAAAGCGAATTAAAATTTAATTTCTACAAGTAAGGCTATTCAGTCAGACTATTATGACATTATTTTCAAATCACGTCACCTTATGCAAAGAAGATCCATTTGACAGAATGTAATAGGCTAATACCTGTACACATTTCATTCACATAATTTTCCTTTGTTTTTCACTAAAAAATAGCACAAGTATCTATAATAGCTGACCACCCACATGTGCATTTACCTTACATTTGCCATTACACTGTGATGCATCAAGTCGCCCATGTGGCTTCTGCTCTAGAGTCATGGAGTAAGGAGTTGATCCTTACGTCGCGGGTTCGAATCCAACTGTGGGACATGGAGACCGGTCCTTTGGATGAGACCTTATAAACCGAGGTCCCGTGACACAGTAGTAAGTACCGTAAGTACCAAGTATATGACAAAATTTGCAGCTCTCCACCAGCAAGTGGCGGTGTCTCAATATGTTTGTTTGTTTGTATGTTGTTTAACATCCCTCTCAAGAATTTTTCACTCATATGGAGACGCCGCCACTTGCCGGTGGGGAGCTGCAAATTTTGTCCTATACTCGGCACTTACGGCCATTGAGCAGTGAGGGATCTTTTTCGTGCCAGCACCTACTGCGACATGGGACCTCAGTCTATACAGTCTCATCCGAAGGACCGGTCTCCACGTCCCACAGTGGGATTCAAACCCACAACATAAGGATCAACTCCTTACTTCGCGACTCTAGAGCAGATGCTCTAACCACTGCACCACGCGTTGTCTCCATATGAGTGAAAAATTCTCAAGAGGAACGTTAAACAACATACAAACAAACAAACACATGCATCAAAATTTAATTCGAATTAGATTAGCTTGAAGCGTTCACGCAGAGCTAATGCGAAGTAATTTAATGTGCAGTAAATTAACTTACGTTTAATTTGAATTAAACTCTCCATGTGAACAGGGCATATAATGATGCCCTGTTCACAAGGAGAGTTTGATTTGAATTAAACACAAGTTACTGTGAATTAAATTTGAAGCGCATTCACATGGAGAATTTAGTGTGAATTAGTTTAATTCGAATTAATTTACTGCGCATTAAATTACATTGCATTAGCTCCATGTGAACGCTAAGCAAAGCTAATTCGAATTAAATTTTGACGCATGCGTAGGCCAGAATTAAGTCACAGGCCACATGTCGGTGGTTAGATTTATGTATCTGTGCTATTTTTGGTTGAAAAAAAAGGAAAGTAATGTAAATCACTAAAATGTATACAGTCACTATGATTATATATGTTATGTCAAATGATCTGCTCTGCATACATGACATGATTTACAAATGATGTCATAATAGCCTTACTGAAAAGCTATCGTAGCCTAGAAACAAAATTTTAATTCGCATCAGCTTACTTCGCTTTTGCTGTTATCCGAATGCATTCTTATTCACATTATTTTAATTCACGTTATTTCACTTCGCATTAATTTACTGCGAATTAAACTCTCTGTGTGAACGGGGCATTAGACATATAGCAAAAGGAATTTACTTAATACAATAATGACCTACCTCAATGTTACTCAAAATGCACTTATTATCTAGTGTTAAAGAGCAAAATATTGAATATTAAGTTATTGTTTTCATAATTGTTTATATATATAAAAGAAACTCAGGGTGAAGCATCCATTGATTAAAAAAGCTACCACATTACTGATATGACAGTTCAATTCATTAAGTGACAATTATGTTTTCCACATTTTTCCTTAATTATTATCATTTTACAGCATTCCTTAAAAAATCACATTGCATGGTCTCTCTAAGGTCATGTGTTAGGAATAAAAATTTTCATTCAAAAAGATAATATGGATGAAAACATCTTGTACAAAATTTATTAATGATAAACATTTATCACATTTTCACTGTCAAACCAGCCTTATTTGTCATTTTCTCCAAATTGTGAGCCTTATATATCTCTACTGACATCCAGTACAAAAAGATGAAAAATGAAATTCCCAAGAATAAATTTATATTTATCCCAATTTTTATGTGAACACATTAATTTCAATCTTATTAAATCTTATGAAGAAAAAAAAAAAAAAAAAAAAAAAAAAAAAAACAGAATATAAATATAAATACCAATTTAAATTGTTATGAAGGACATATCAAATCAGGTCATTATACCCCAAATCAGGACATTATACATGTACTCCTGTCATTTTTATTATGCCCAATAAAAATTTTATATATTTTATTTTGCATTTCGCCATGATTCTTATAGAGAATAATAATTTTATTATTATTTCCAATAAAAATGATATTGTTTGTGCACCTAAAAACTATTTATTACAATCAGTCAGGACATTGTACTATAAGGGCATTATACACATCCGATGTAAACAGCTTACTCAGGTAAGGCATAATTTTGGGCAAGAAAAAATCGCATTCTTGTTTGATTCCTTGAAATGAATGTGTAATTATGTTCCGCAGACTTGAAGTCTTTCTAAAGACACACTACATCTGCGCAATTTCTTGTCGAATGTTTTATAGCTGTTATTACGACAGATAAGACTTTCCGAATTGCCTAGGTTTCTTATTTCAGCTGTTTAGCATGTTTGGTGTGTTTGTTTATATACGAACAATTTTTAAATTAAGTTCTGCAAAGTTCATTATAATTGCATATCATATGATATGATTCTTTTTAAAGCAGGCCGGGTGCAATGTATTTAATTTTTGTATCCTAATCTTTTCAATCAGACATTTGACATGTATTGTGGCAGATGTAGTTTATTTACGTTTTCTTAAATCTTTTTATTTCGATCCCGATGTAAATTATTTATCTTATATGTGGAAACGCCCACTTTTGTCCAGTAAGTTCTTTGACAGTTCCTTTTGTTCTCATTTCCATATAAAGCTATGCAGCTAGCTATCAGATCATTGGGGAGGGAGACAGCTGACTTTGCTAGCTACACTCTTCATATACTGGAATCATTTTCTTGTTTGTCTGTTTATATTGCTTTTATACTCGATTCCTTTTCACAAGTTATACAGAGTAATCGCTCTTTGTCACACCGAGGCGTTGTCGTCGATCGTCATTACGGTGCTGACAGTGTGACAAGAGTGACAGTATGCCCTACGAATAAATAGGTGACAAACACAGTGTTGTCTTTGTTTTCCAAAGTCGAACGTGCTGAAATACGACTGCAAAAGTATGTTAGTAGTAAATAAACCTGCCGAAAAGATCCTCATGTGCTTTATCTTTTTTTTAATTTATCAATTTCATTTCATTAGTTCGCCTATGGCTATATGCCCGTACCGCTAGTTACCCAATACCTTTTTATTTGACGTTTTGTATATATTTTTTATACACCATGTACTGTTATACTAGAACAAATAAATAAAAATAATAAATAACAAACTAGAGCCGAGCTCGTTGCAATGCAACGAATAGGTCTTCCGTCGGAGCTCCGGACAGAACATAGCGACCTTGAGTCAAGGTCATGCAACATTTTAAGGTTATAAACAATCCTGTAAGGGGCATCAACTTCCAATGTTTCAACAGTAGAAAGACAGTAAAAGAATGTAAAATTCCCCTGTCAGTGAACTTGAACTTGTCCAAATAAT